CTCCTCCTCCTCCTCCTCCTCCTCCTCCTCCTCCTCCTCCTCCTCCTCCTCCTCCTCCTCCTCAGCCCGGAGAGCGCGCGCGGAGCAGGGGGGTGCTCCCCTGCTCCCCTGCTCCCCTCCGCGTCGGTGGCGCTCCTGGGGCCCAAAGGAGGAATCGTGACCTAGGTTTTTGCCTGTGGCGCTCCTGGGGCCCAAAGAAGGAATCGTGACCTGTTTTTTTGCCTGTGGCGTTTTTTTTTTGCCTTGCGCGCCGGGCCCCCGGACCCTGCCGGACTGCGCGCGCGAGGCGGGGAGGTGCTCCCCTGCTCCCCTGCTCCCCTCCGCGTCGGTGGCGCTCCTGGGGCCCAAAGAAGGAATCGTGACCTGGGTTTTTGCCTGTGGCGCTCCTGGGGCCCAAAGAAGGAATCGTGACCTGTTTTTTTGCCTGTGGCGCCTTTTTTTTGCCTTGCGCGTCGGGCCCCCGGACCCTGCCGGAGAGCGCGCGCGGGGCGGGGAGGTGCTCCCCTGCTCCCCTGCTCCCCTCCGCGTCGGTGGCGCTCCTGGAGCCCAAAGAAGGAATCGTGACCTGGGTTTTTGCCTGTGGCGCTCCTGGGGCCCAAAGAAGGAATCGTGACCTGTTTTTTTGCCTGTGGCGCTTTTTTTTGCCTTGCGCGTCGGGCCCCCGGAGCCTACCGGAGAGCGCGCGCGAGGCGGGGGGGGGTGCTCCCCTGCTCCCCTCCGCGTCGGCGACGCTCCACAGGCAAAAACGTTTTTTTTTGCCTGTGGTGTTTTCTTTTGCCTTGCGTGTCTTTTTTTTTTTTGCCTTGCGCGTAATCTCTGCCAGAATTCAGAGCTCGAACCTGGCAGACCCGAGGCCTTGAGTTCTGGACGAGGGCGAGGAAATTCAGGGCTTGAACCTAGAAGCCCCGAGGAGAGCTTAGGAATGGGTACCAGAGGGCCGAGCGGTCCCATACAACACGGGGTCCGATTTTTTCTGTGTCTCTCGCGCATGAAATTGCATATCGCAACGTCATCGGCAGTCACCTCCCAATCGGAGGCAGGCCGACTTTCTCGCGCCAGCGGTCTACGTGCAAGGCTGCCTGCTCGCTAGCTTTGGGTTTGGCTTGCTCTTTGGTCAAGCCTGCATTGGTGTGGAATTTCATTGCCGAGTGCCAAACGAACGAATGAAGGCGATTCTGGATCACGGGCAAATCGGCGCCGATTGCGTCGACATCGAGGTATCTATCGATGGGGTCTGGATCGAAAGCCATCCTCGCCGCCTCGGCGTCGGCTTCAACATCACAGCGCGCTGCCGCTGGCCTCCGCCGCGGCGGCACTGCGGCTGCAGGCCGGCGGCGGGGCGGCGGCGGCGGTTCAGCAGAAGCGTGTGCTTCCGCCTTGGGCATGGCCTTCGCCTTGCCCTCTGCCATCAGAGTCGCGCTCAAAACCTTGAATCCTGTGGGGCGGGGCCGACCTGGTTAAACTCAGCAGCAAGTTCTGACAAACGGCTCGCCGATAAAAGTTCGGGTGCCATCGACCCAGAAACAGCGGCAGGTGCGCTCGAGCTCGAGCTCGACGAGGCAGCCCACGACTGAGGCATCGATGGCGGCTCGTTAGAAAAACCTTTGAAAGGAGAAAGGCGCGATACTTTCGGAGAAGCTGCTCGCTCCACTGAACCCGATGCGAGCAAACTCCCACTCAGCTCATGCAAGTCAACTGATGATGCAAGCGATTCGCTCCACGAAACATCGGAGGATGAATGTTCCTCGAGATCCTCGTCTGGTTTCGTAGCTTTCCTTTTTTGTCCTAGCGTTGGGCTGTCCTCATGGAGTACCATTTGTCAATGAGAATCTGCAGCGTCGGATAGTGCTTCGGGGCCGTTGGTGATGGCCTCCTCTTGATAGCAAGGATGCTCTGCAACGTGCAATGGAGATCTCGAGTGCAACGTTCTACTTCTGTGTATGACCAATTCATAACATTGTTCTTAAGCCAGCCATCCAAACTGAGCGCACATGAGTTCTGCTTCGGGATCTGCCCTCGGCTAGCGTCCAAAATATCACTCAACCAACTCTCGTTCTTTCTAACCGTTGCCTACTCACTGCATGTGCCACCCTTTGATATCTTGGATACTTTCCACAACTCTTTCGGCCTGCACTGCACCAGTGGCACTCTGTCATTCAAAATTGCGTGCACATCTTTGGACGGGAGATCCACACCTTCGGTCCGCGGACGTCGTGACCTGGGCTCCATGAGCCCGCATTAATTGCTAGAGCCAGATCGGCAATGGAGAACAGTGGCACAGCCTGGGGGAGAATCCTTGGGCGAAGGCCCAACATGCAACGCTTGGCGAATCCGAGGACCCTCACCGCATCCAACCCCTCAAGAAGGCCCCAAAAGAGCCCCAAGAAGCCCCAAGAAGGCCCTAATAGGACCTCAGGAGAGCCCCAAGAAAGAGCCCCAGGAGGCCCCAAGAGGGGCCCAAGATAATCCCAAGAGGGCCCCAAGATGCCTCGCAAATCAGTGCAACAGCCATTGCGGGTCATCGAAATACCCCTCACCTCTCATCGAAGCGCAGTCGTAATTTACACTGACTTCCATATGAAAACCCAATGCGGGAAGCTATGTGTGATGCTTGTGTTCTCGAAGGCGGCTGCGCGACTGCATGCGTTATGCCGCCCCTGATGCACCAACTCCCCTGCTGATCGTTTCTGGATTGGCTGGTGGGGAGACGCGAAGCGTCGATAATTATTTCTGAAGCCCCCTGGCCATCGGCCGCGCGTGACAATGCGGACAAGCAAGCAGCATCAGCACAGTTGCGAGCAGCATCAGCAACATAGCGGACTTGTGTGTAACATTTGTCCAGTGCAGTTGTTGTTTGCCAGGGGCCCTCTTGGGGCTCTTTTGGAGGGTCTTGGAGCCCTCTTGGGGCTCTTTGAGGCTGTTCTGGGAGGCCTCGGGGCCGTCTTGGTCCTTATGGCTGCAGAATGGGGGTGCCCCCAATTATTGCCCCCCCCCGTTCCCCCCCCCCCCCCCCTCGGAGGCTCAAACATGCCGTCTTGGGGCCCTCCCGAGCGGCCCCTGAAGGGGGCAAGGAGGGCCCCAAGAGGAGCCCCCCTGCTGTCAAGGACGAAGGCCGCCAGCTTGACAGCAGGGGGGCCCGCTTGGGGTCCCTCTTGGAGCCTTCCTGGGGGTCTCTTGGGGGTCTCTGGGGGCCCTCTTGGCGCCTTCAGAATGGGCCAGGACAGGTGGGGGGAGCTCCGGAGCGGGCCCCAGGGGGGAGCCAGGAACGCCCCAAGAGGAGCCCCCTCTGCTGTGAAAGAAGAGGGCCTCTAGCTTGACGGCAGGGGGGGGCCGCTTGGGGCCCCTCTTGGAGCCTTCTGGGGGCCCTCCTGGGGCTCTCCCTCTTGGAGCCATCTTGGGCCATCTTGGACGCTGCTATGGGCCCGCCCCCCCCCCGTCCAAACGCAGGGAGGGGGGGGAGAGGTAAACCTCCCGAGCAGGGAAAGGCAGGAGGTTGGAAAGGGAAACGCCCTAGACCACCTGCGCCCAGAGGGCTGGTGGGATTCGCCCATTCGGACCGCCGAGGATTGCGAGAATGCTGGCGGGGGAAGCAGAGGATGGGAGGGCATGTCAACGACGAGCCCAAAACCTACCTGAGGCAGTCCACACCACGCGCAAGCACACCGGTCTACAATACACACGCACACACACACACGCACATCTTTTCGTTTTGCTTCTATTTCTTCGGTCGGCGGGGCGGAGGGCAAAAGAAGAAGGGCGCGACCCGCGAAACCCAGAAGCGCGCGACACCAGTAACGCGAGAAACTAGCATGCCAATAGCACGAGAAACAAAACGGCTAGACCCCCGAACCGCGGCACGAACAACACAGGCACCCAGATGGCCAACATCGCCCACCGAACGCGCCGTTCGACGCACGCGAGCCCAAGCGAGGAGAAAGTGCAACAGCCGCTTCGTGCAAAGATACAGGCGCGCGTCTGTGCATCAGGATTGTCCATGTAGAAAATTTGCCCCCCCGTATCCTTTTAAAGGGAAATGAGCCTCGGGGTCCTGACCGGGGGCCAGTGGCGCGCGGCGCCCCGCCGGTGCCCCGCCTCCGGCTGAGGCGCGGCCGGGCCATATTCTTCCTATGCGGGGGCCGGCGGCGCGCGGCGCCCCGCCGGTGCCCCGCCTCCGGCTGAGGCGCGGCCGGACCATATTCTTCCTAACCGGGGGCCGGTGGCGCGCGATGTCCCGCCGGTGTCCCGCCGGTGCCCCGTCGGTGTCCCGATGTTGATGATGATGATGATGCCGAAAATGTTGTTGATGATGATGATGACGGTGATGGTGGTGATGCTGACGGCGCCCCGATGATGATGATGATGATGATGATGATGATGATGATGATGATGATGATGATGTTGACGGTGTGGATGACGATGATGATGGTGATGGTGGAGATAGTGATGGTAGCCTGGTGTTGGTGATGTTGGTGATGATGGTGCTGCTGATGATGCTAGTGTTGGTGTCCTAGTGATGATGACGATGGCGTTGGTGATCCTGACGGTGTTGATGATGATGAGATGATGTGGTAATGATGATGATGGTGTATCGATGCTGATACTGGGATTGATGATTCTGTTGATGCAGATGGTGAAGAGGATGATGGTGTCCCGATGACGATGATGATGATGTTGTTGGTGATGATGACGATGATGGTGTCCCGATGATGATGACGCTGATGATGCTGATGTTGATGATGAGGATGCTGATGAGATGGTGAGGGTGGCGTTGATGATGATGGCGTCGCGATGATGGTGTCCCGATATGATGATGATGGTGTCCCGGTGATGTGAGGGTAGATGATGATGGTGTCCCGATGATGATGATGGCGATGATGATGATGATGATGAAGGTCACGATGATGATGGTGTCCCGATGATGGTGATGGTGAGGATGCGGAAGATGATGATGTTGCTGATGATGATGATGGTGCCCCGATGCTGATGAGGATGATCTTGTTCATGGTTATGATGAGATGATGATGACGGTGGTGTTCCGATGATGATGATGGTGCCCCGATGATGATGATGGTGATGATGATGTTGATGATGATGGTGACGAGGTGATGATGATGGTGCCCCGATGATGATGACGACGTTGATGACGATGATGTTGATGATGCCGATGACGTTGATTGGGAGATCGATTGTGATATCGATAGTGAGACCAAAATGCGAGATCGAATGTGGGACCGATTGTGGGATCGATCGTGAGATCGATAGTCAGATCGATTGTGAGATCGATCGAATGAAACAGATCGAGTGAGATCGAGCGGGGCCGATCGTGAGATCGATCGTGAGATCCATCGTGAGACCGATCGAAAGAGACGTTGGTTCCTCCCCCCCCCCCGAACCTCCTCATCACCCGAAGGGTGGTCGTATAGGTAGACGGAGATGAACGCGATGCCTCTCTTCACTCCCCAGTGCGGGTGGGCAGCCACCAGCCTTCCTTCCTGTGGCGCTGGTGATGGTGTGGCTGGCGGCCTAGTGAGCGATATATGATTGTTGGCCAACGCCGCAACCCCCGCTGACGTGCCAGTTCCATTACTGGTCGGTATAGCAGGCGCTCAGATGCCATGAAATCCAACGTCTCGGAGCCTGGACTGCACTCGGTCAAGCTTGCCATCCGTGGCGCGACGCTCTTGCACGGCGACGACGGCGCGCCCAGGCATGCCCCCCCTCCCCCATGCAGTCGCACGACTGCCCGTTGGAGATATAATTCACCGTAGCAAGGCATCCCTTGCACTGGCCAGCCAGCTGAGCCTCGCTCTGTCGGAGCCTCCTCTTGTCGCGGGCAGCGGTGCCCGGCGAATCGCACTTGGAACTGTCGCCAGGCCGCGCCGTCCTTGGGGGGGAGGGGGGGGGGCCTTGGGGAGCCCAGGGAACTGCCCCCCCAACCATCCCCCCCCTCCCCCATTGGCCAACGCGTCGTTCCTCGAGGCAGTCGACAGCAACGCCTGGGGGGGGCGGACTTCGGGCGCTCGCCGAGCTCCTCCTCTGCCACCACCACCCCCCCGTGACAGACGGGCCCCGCCCGAGCGGCCCCGCGGGCAGCGGCGCGATCCCCGCTCCTCGCGCCGACAGCAGCCCCCGATCTAGGACCCGCGGCGCCGCCGACGGCAGCGCCGGCTGCAATCTTCGAGCGGGGGCCCGCGGCGCTCGTAGGGCCAGCGGGCCTCGCGCCTGCCACATCCCCCACAGCCTCGCCAGGTGCATGAGCCGCAGCTGGGCCCCTTGGCCCGCGTGGCGACTCATTGCCTGGCAGCCGCGATGGCGCGCCAGGTCATTGCGCCCTAGCGCCCGTGGCGACGGAGCCTAGCAGCCGCAATGGCACACTAAGGCTTTGCGCTCTAACGCCAGACGAAGCCGC